CCGCGTCGACCCCGAAGTCACGGCTAAAAAAGTTACTTACCGTAACAGAATGGCGCTAGAAGGAGGGCCGATCCAAATGTCGGGTGATCAGCAAATCCACCTCGTCGGATCCTCAAATGCGGAGCCCCCCGCCTTAGAGGAACGGCCCGACGAGACCCATGACGAGCGCCCCGCAGTGGTGTCGGAGCGCTACTAGCGACTGTTCAATGACCCGGGCTTGTCGCCCCCCGGCAGTGCACCCGCCGACCTGCCGCGGGTGTCACCCGAGGCCTTTCATGACCTCGCCCACCAGGTCCGAGCTCTCACAAGCATGGTGCAGACCCTCGTCTCCCAGCGAACCTCTCCGCATGCGGCGCGACCCTCGCAGCAACAAGGGACCCCCGCTCGGACCCACGTGCCGCTCCCGCAACTTCCGGGCTCGCCTCGAAACCCAGCAACTCGGCCAGGGGACAGGGAAGCAGAGGACACGGCGAGCCGCCCCGAGCCCGAGGCCCCGACTGTCGATTCGACGAACGCCCTACGAGCCCAACTGCGCCTCGTCAGTCAAAGGCTTGACGAGGTACAATAGGAAGTTCGTAAGTCAAAAGGGGAGCTCGGGGCGGACGGACACCAAGGATCTTCGTTCACCCCCGAGATACAGGATCAGGCGATCCCCCCGCACTTCCGCCTCCCCTCCCTGGACGCGTATGACGGCGCAACCGACCCGGCGGACCACGTGGCCGCTTTTCGGGCCCAGATGGCGCTATTCGGTACTTCAGACGCCCTGATGTGCATGGAGTTCCCGATGACCCTGCGAGGACCAGCCCGCGCGTGGTACAGCGACCTGAAGCCAGGGACCATCGCCTCCTTCGACCAGCTCGCCAAAGATTTCGAGCTTAACTTCCTGGCGTACGCCCGACCAAAGCCGTCTATGGCGTTGCTTTTAGGGCTCAACCAAAAGGAGGACGAGCCCCTTTCTCACTTCGTGAACCGATTTACGACACAAATCCGTGGATTGTCGGATGCTCACCCCTCTCTTTTGATGCAGGCCTTTATGGCTGGCCTGCGGCCCTCCAGGTTCTTCTGGTCGCTCATGGAAAAGCCCCCTATCGCGGTCCCCGAGATGCTCCAACGGGCCAGTCAGTTCATCGCCGCGGAAACCTGGATGGTCGGAAAGCGGGAGGGGCTCAGAAAGGTCAAGTCGGAGCCGCCCCGACAGCAACAACCTACTGCCTCCCGGCGAAAGTTGGACAGGCCTGACCCAAGGCCTCCTCTTCCCGCCTTGAATTCTTCCCGGACTGAGATATTTCTACACGAAAGGGGGAAGGGGCTGCTCAGGGACCCTCACTCGATGAAGAACCCGCGAGAACTCGCAGACCGCTCAAAGTATTGCCGATTCCATCGACAACACGGGCACGACACTGAGCAATGCTACGAGTTGAAAAGGAAAATCGAGGAGCTCATCCTCAGAGGTCATCTCGGCTAGTACCTCCGGCCGAATAAGGAGCAGTCCCCTCGCCCAGAGGGCCCCGTTGAGCGACACATCGATGTCATAGCCGGGGGCCCCGCATCTGGAGGAAGTTCTATGTCGGGCAGGAAGGCGTACGCCCGGGCCGCTCCCGACGAAGCCTCAGGGCACGGCCCCGAGCCCGAGATCACCTTCCCAACCGGAGCTGCTGAGCGACCCGACCACGACGACGCCCTGGTGATATCGGCCAGGGTAGCCAACGCACAAATGAGGAGAATCATGGTCGACACGGGAAGCTCGGCCGACATACTCTACTTGGGAGCCTTCCAGAAGCTGGGCCTGGCCAGGGAAAATTTAAGCCCGTTGTGCTCGGCGCTCACTGGCTTCACGGGGGATTCAATATCACCCCTGGGAGCCATTACCCTGCCTATGACTCTGGGGACCCCGCCAAAGTCGAAGACTGTGATGACCACTTTTCTGGTAGTCGACCTTCCCACCGCTTACAACGCCATACTCGGTCGGCCAACCCTTAACAAGGTCAGAGCCGTCGTCTCGACCTACTACCGGACCGTCAAATTCCCGACCCGTGAGGGGGTCGGGGAAGTCGCCGGAAGCCCCCAGGAGTTCAGGCGTTGCTACCTTACCTCCGTCTCATTGGGCAAAAGAGCCAGGGGAGAAGCGCCCCTAGAAGATCCCCGGGAAGCAAAGAAGCCGTCCCCTCATCCTGAGCCGAGGGGGTCCACAGTTGACGTCCCTTTGCGGGAAGCACGACCGGATCACACGGTCAGGGTCGGATCAGAGCTGCCCGAGCGGGAACGAGAGCAACTCGTCGGTCTTCTGCGGGAAAATGCCGACATCTTCGCCTGGTCCCCATCGGACATGAGGGGAGTCGACCCGGAGGTCGCGCAGCATCATCTCAATATCCCACCTGACGCTCGCCCGGTGAAGCAAAAGCCCCGGCGCCACGCACCTGACCGACAACGCGCCATACAAGAGGAGGTGGACCGACTCTTGGCGGCAGGCTTTATAGAAGAAGCCAAGTATCCCCGGTGGTTGTCCAATGTAGTTCTCGTGAAAAAACACAATGGAAGCTGGAGGATGTGCGTTGACTACACTAGTCTCAACAGTGCATGTCCTAAAGACTGCTATCCCCTCCCGAAGATCGACCAGCTGGTCGACGCGATAGCAGGACACGCACGCCTCTCTTTCATGGATGCCTATTCAGGGTACAACCAGATCAGGATGGCGCCCGAAGACAGGGAACACACAGCTTTCCTCACCGATCAAGGGATATACTTCTACAAGGTCATGCCGTTCGGATTGAAAAATGCTGGAGCCACATACCAGAGGACGGTAAACAAGATGTTTGCCCATCAAATCGGGAGGAACATGGAAATCTACGTGGACGACATGATTGTAAAACGCAGAAAGGCCGGAACGCACCTTGCCGACCTAGCCGAGGCTTTCGCCACGCTACGCAAGTTCGGCATGCGGCTCAACCCCGCAAAATGCGCTTTCAGCGTCACCTCCGGGAAGTTCCTAGGGTTCATCGTACACCAGAGAGGAATCGATGCCAACCCGGAGAAAGTACAGGCAATAATCGATATGCAGTCCCCCCGGACGGTTAAAGACCTGCAGCGACTCAATGGAAGACTTGTCGCCCTGTCTCGCTTCCTCGCCCAATTGGGCGATCGCTGCCTCCCGTTCTTCAAGGCGCTCAAAGACCCGAAGAGCTTCCAATGGACGTCGGAATGCGAAGAGGCTTTGAGACAGATGAAGCAGCACCTAGCCAGCCTTCCCCGACTCGCCTCTGTTTCCTCTGACGAGAAGCTGGGACTCTACTTGGCGGCCTCTCCGCGTGCGGTCAGCTCCGTCCTTGTCAAGGAGAGCTCCGGTCCACAACTCCCGATCTACTACGTCAGCCATGTCCTGAGTGGGCCGGAAGAACGCTACCCACCGATAGAAAAGCTCGCACTCGCCCTGGTGCTCTCGGCCTGAAAGTTGCGCCCTTACTTCCAGGAGCACCCGGTGGAAGTCATCACCGACCAGCCTCTTCGGCAGATCTTAACAAAATTCGATGTTGCAGGTCGGCTCCTCCGATGGGCGGTGGAGCTCGGTGAACATGATATCAGCTACGTTCCCAGAACCGCCATCAAGGCCCAGGCGGTAGCCGACTTCATCGCGGAGTTGGCCCAAATGGATGGAGATCCCGGACAAGCCCCCGAGGTCTGGACCCTACACGTGGACGACTCGGCCAAATCGAGGGGTGCCGGGGCTGGGATGGTCCTTCTCGCTCCTGACGGACGCTCGTTCGAGCGTTCCCTTCGCTTCGAGTTCAAAGCCACAAATAACGAGGCGGAATACGAGGCGCTCCTAGCAGGACTGATGCTGGCCCTCGAGATGCAGGTGGCCGCAATACACGTCCTCACCGACTCGCAGCTTGTGGCCGAACAGCTCAATGGCGGATACGAAGCTCGGGACGCGACCATGGCCAAATACCTGGCACGGGTAAGGGACCTAACCGCGAGATTCCCTTACTTCACATTATCTAACGTCCCGAGGGAGGAAAACGGGAGAGCTGATGCGCTTGCTAAGTTGGCATCGAGACAAGCCCCCGAAGCGTGGCCGAGGATTGAGGAACTCCCCGCTCGCGCCGTTGAAGTAGCAGCTACGGCCCCAGGCGACGCGCCGACCACGTGGGTGCAGGAGCTGCTGCGCTTCAAGCGGGACGGAACTCTCCCCCTCGACTAAGTTGCAGCTCGGCGTCTGCGCCGCACACACTACCACCGAGGAAAGTGGATGACTTTACAAACGGTCCTTCACCCATCCCCTCCTGCGATGTTTGGAACCTGACGAAGCGAGGACAGTCATGGCTGAAACGCACGAGGGGGTCTATGGCGAACACATCGGCGGGCGGACCTTGGCGCACAAGATACTCCGCCAAGGCTACTACTGGCCAACCATGTGTCGAGATGCGAAAACTTACGTACAGCGGTGCGGTTCGTGCCAGCAACACGCCCACGCACCCCGGCAACCCTCGGTCCCGCTCTGCCCCATCGACTGTGCATGGCCGTTCGCCCAGTGGGGGCTGGACCTCCTCGGCCCCTTCCCACCAGCTCTTGGACAGCGGAAGTACATAATCGTGGGAGTAGACTACTTCACAAAGTGGGTCGAGGCCGAGCCACTGGCGACAATCATGGAGCATCAAATGGAGAAATTCGTGTGGAAGAATTTAGTAACTCGATTCGGGTTGCCCAAGGCCATTATCACCGACAACGGACCGCAGTTCGCAAGCACAAGGTTCCGGGAATTCTGCGCCAGCCATGGCATTCAACTGAGGTTCAGTTCGGTGGCCCACCCACAAACGAATGGATTGGCCGAAGTAACCAACCGTTCCATCCTGGACGGCCTCAAAAGAAGAGGGTCTGCGGCCCGGTCGACCTGGACGGATGAGCTCCCCAGTGTGTTATGGTCGCTACGCACTACCCCCAAGACGGCGACCGGAGAGTCCCCGTACAGCTTGACGTTCAGAACCGAGGCCGTCCTACCGCCCGAGGCAATTGTCGCCACGCTTCGGACAAGGTGCTACGAGGAGGAGGCCTCGAATTAGGGACTTCGTGCCAGCCTCGACATGCTCGAGGAGCGACGTGCCGACGCGCACCTAAAGGCCCTCTCTCACCAGAGAGCAATCGCTCGGATCTACAACAGAAAGGTGCGACCCCGACCGATCAAGCTAGGTGATCTAGTCCTACGAAGGGCCGAAATCAGCGACCCGACCCGAACGAGAGGAAAGCTGGCCCCCAAGTGGGAAGGACCATATCGGGTCACCGGCGTGGTCCGTCCAGGCACCTATCGGCTCACCGCAATGGACGGGGCCCCCCTGCCGAGAACGTGGAACGTCCAGAACCTCAAAAAGTTCTTTGTCTAAAGTCAGTACCCGTGGGAGCACCTTCCAAGTCAAAGTTGTGCAATTTACGAGGCTCAAAGACATACTGGGAAAAGAACTCTTCATTTCTGAGGCATGAAAATACAAGACTCGACTTACAAAATGAAAAGGCACGCTGGGGGAAGATTCCTTCATTTACAAAACACGGGACTACAACGGCGACCTGACCCGAAGACTGCAAAAATTACAAGCTCGGCCGAGCTGACGTCAAGACCGCCCTAAGCCATCGGGGCCCCCGACGCTATCGTCGAAAGGAACAACCTCCGGCATATCTACATCCAAATCCTCGGGGTGCGAGGTGAAAGGATCCGCCTCGACTCCCAACCCGGGGTGGCGCGTCCGAAACCGGCCCAGGGCTATCCGGTATCCGTACTCGTAAGTAACTTGCCCCGACCGAACCAACCCGAGTTGGAAGCCGGGGGATTGCTTATAGGCTTCAATTATTTCCTTCTCCTTCTCCGGTCGTCGCTCCAGCTCAACCGCCAGGGCTTCCGAGGCCCCCTTCGCGTCGGCCAAAGCCCCCTCCAATCGCTGGGTAAGCTCGGCCGCCTCGCCCTGGGCCAGGCGAGCCTCGGATTGTGCCCCCTCCAGGAGCCTTCGGAGGTCGTCTTTCTCCTCCTCAGCCGCCTTCGCCTCGGACCTCATACGCAGCACCTCTAGCTCAGCCGCCCCTGCCTCCGCCCGGAGACGCGTCACCTCTGCTTCGAGCTCCGAAGAGCGCTGCTCGGCCGCCGCGACCACCTCAGGAGCCGCCCCCGCGCGAGCCTCCTCGAGCTACTTGCGTAGGTCGGCGTTGCGGTCGCACAGAATACCCAAGGCCCGACCAGAGTCGCGAACTCGATCCGCCAACGCCATAGCATAATGTTGGCCCTGCAGAAGGAAAAGTCAGAACCCTCGGTTGCACCATGGGCCAGAAGCAGCAGAGCACTTACCCACAACAGCGACTTCACGGATTTACCGAGCAGGACGTCGGACGGCAGAGTGTACATTTCGCGGGCCAGGTCGGGATGCAGCCCCCCTCGGACAAACGCAGCCGCAGTTTCCCCGTCGGCCCACACCCGGGTCCCGCGGG